AAATAAAATTAAAACAATATACTAAGCAGTTATGTGTGGAATTAATTTTAAAAACAACTGTCCTGATACATACAAACGAATACATGTAGGAAATTTTTCTTTTTTGCTGTTCCTTTTGTTTTTTTTGTTTTTGTTTTTGTTTTTGTTTTGGTACCAGGGATTGAACTCAGAGGCACTCAACTACTAAGCCACATCTCCAGCCCTGTTTTGTATTTTATTTACAGACAGAGTCTCTGAGTTACTTAGAACCTCACTTCCGTTGAGGCTGGCTTTGAACTCGCAATCCTCCTGCCTCAGCCTCCCAAGCTGCTGGGATTACACGTATGCACCATCACTCCCGGCTTATTGTTCCATATTTCTATTGGTGCATTATAATTATACATAATGATGAGATTTGTTGTTACATATTGATGTATGCACAAGATATAACAACATAATTTGATAAATATCATTACCCAGTTCTTTCCCTTTCCTATTCCTTTGCTCTACTGGTCTCCCTTCATTTTCATGAGATTCCCCCTACCAACTTTTTTCCTTTATCCCCTCTAGAGTCCACACATGATCCTTGACATTATGAGTTTGGTTTATTTCACTTAATAAAATACTCCATCCACTTTTCTGCAAATGACATATTTCACTTTTCTTTATGATTGGATAAAACTCCATTGTATACTTAAACCATATTTTCTTTATCTGTTCACCCACTGATAGACAGGTAAGCTGGTTCCACAGCTTGGCTATTATGAATTGTGCTGCTATAAACATGGTTATGAATGTACTACTGTAGTATGCTAACTTTAATTCTTTAGAATAACTACCAAGGAGTGGTATAGCTGAGTAGTATGTTGGTTTCCTGGATAGTCTTCTGAAGAATCTCCATACTGATTTGCAAAGTGGTTGTACTAAATTACAATCCCACCAACACTTGTAAAAATGTCCCTATTCCCCCACTTCCTCTTTAGCAATTCTTATCATTTGTATTCTTGATGGCTATCACTGTAACTGAATGAGATAAAATTTCAGTATAGTTTTGATTTGCATTTCCCTAACTGCTAAAGACGTTGAACCTTTTTCAAATATTTGTTAGCCATTTGTATTTCTTTTGAGAAATGACTGTTAAGTTACTTTGCCCATTTACTGAATTACCTGTTTTAGGGGTCCAAGTTCTTTCTATATTCTGGGTATTAATATCCTGTCAGAAGAGAAACTAGCAAAATTTTTCTCCATTCTGTAGGCTCTCTCTTCACATTTTTAACTGTTTTTTCTGCTGTGTAGAAGCTTTTCAGTTTGATGCCATCCCATTTATTAATTCTCAATATTATTTCCTATAGGCTTCAGGAGGCCTATTGAGGAAGTCATTGCCTGGGCCTATATGTTGGAGTGTTGACCCTATGCTTTCTTCTGAGTTGCAAAGTTGCTGGTCTAATTCCTAAGTCTTTGATTCATTTTGAGTTGGCTATTGTGCAAAATGAGAAACAGGAATCTAGCCTTACTCTTCTATATATGGAGAGCCAGTATTCCCAGCAACATGAAAACATTAAAATGGCTACCTGTTTTCCAACATACATTTTTGGTGCCATACAGATCAGTATCTGTATGGGTTTGTCTCTATCTCTTCTATTCTGTTCCACTGGTCTATGTACCCATTTTTATGCCAGTACCATGCAGTTTTTGTACTATAGCTCTGAAGTATAATTTGAACTCAGGTATTGTGATGTTTGTTTTTTGTTGTTGTTGTTGTTTGTTTTTTACTTAGGATTGATTTGGCTATTTGGGGCTCTTTATTCTTCCAAAAGAATTTTAGAATTGATTTTCCTAATTCTGTCAAGAATCTCATTAGTATTTTGATRAGAAGCACATTGAATCTCTACATCACTTTTGATAATATGATCATTTTAATAATATCAATTCTCTGTATCCATGAATGTGGGAGATATTTCTATCTTCTAGTAACTTGAATTTCTTTATTCGGGGTTCAATAATTGACATTGAAGACGTCTTTCATCTCCTTGTTTAGGTTTATTCCTAGGTACCTTTTTATTTTTTTAAATAAAAAGAATGGGACTGTTTTCCTGATTTCTTCTTCAGCAAATTAATTATTGATGTGTAGGAAAGTTATTGATTTTGTATGCTTTATACTTAGGAAAATTTCCKAATGACAGACACATACTAATTCAAAATAGGTTCCTCTCAAGGAACCTAAGTGTAACATGAGATAACAGGCTCTGAAAAAATATTGGTATTCTGAAAAAAGCATCCAAAAGGTAGTTTAGGTGATGATGAGACTATTGGAAAAATCTGAATAAAACTATTTTATGAATATAAAAGTAGGCTAGGGCTGGAGTTGTGACTCACTGGTAGAGTGCTTGCCTCACCTGTGTGAGGCACTATGTTTGATTCTCAGCACCACATATAAATAAATAAATWAAATAAAGGTCCATCATCAACTAAAAAAAATATTTCTGAAAAAGTAAGCTAAAGTAGCATTTCTAAACTATTGTTTTCTATTTTAAATGTAAGTGTAAATGTTTAACCAAGTTACCAAAAAGATATATAATTAGGCCCTCAACTATTCCACCTATATTTATCAAGCTTTCTATATTTAAGTTTATCAAACTTGGGGCTTCTCATTGGGAAAAGAAATGCTTTATATTCAAGCATAGTTTGCATAGTTTAGGTATAATATACCATTTAATCATAAAACTCTTAATATTTTGAAAGAATACTTATTTAAAGTTAAATTATTCAACACCTAATACTATGTTACTATAGGCTTATTAAATATAAAGTTGCTTTCTTGTAACATGCAAAATGAAGTGCTCAACATAATGATGTGGTATGTCATCTGGAATGGGGTTTGAAGGTTTCCTAGTGGCTAATTCTTAGGCAAATTAAACAATAAAATAACYAAGTACTAAAGTGAATTACAAAGTACTGGAGAAAAAAAATGAAATCCAGKACCAGGGTTGTGGCTCAGTGGTAGAGMGCTTGCCTAGCGTGTGTGAGGCCCTGGGTTCAATTCACAGCACTACATATAAATAAATAAAATAAAGGTCCATTGACAAATAAAACAAAGGTCCATTGACAGATACAATTTTTTTAATTTTTAAAAATTAAATCCAGGAGTCAATACCAAAAACAAATAGATAACTAAGTGGAAGAGAAGAGAAGGCTCTGCTTTACAGCAGAGTGCCATGATCTGATAATAATATAGGGATAGTAATACAGGAGTTGAAAAATTATCATTTGTAATCACAATCATAAAGACTAAATCAGACAAGAATCATGAATGATTGCTAGATCAAGGAGAAAATTTTGATAAGGAGCAGTATGTTTTTATAGTCTTAAAATTGTTCTCTCTAATACTAGTTTAATTTTTTAAATGCTCCTGAAAGTTTGAAATTGCTTCCAAATAAAAAAAATTTAAAAATGGCTGTTATCTAACACTAGTCAATTTTTTTAATGAAAGGTTATTATATGTAATAAAACAATATTCTTTAGGACTTTAATATTTAGCAAAATTTTTTCTCTTCAGCTCATTTTTCATCAATTTTAAGACTATATAATTAAGACACYTTTTTATACCACTAAGAATGACAGAGAAAGGTGACAATTATAAGATGTTATCAACTATAAAGCACATCACAATTTCAGGGATGTTAAATATGAAAACATATGTCTTACAAATGATGAAATATGATTTTTATACATGGTCAAATTTGCAAACAAATTTTTTAAACATGCATACATCACCATATCATAGTGATTTTATGCTGAATTGAACTTTTTCTGTTATCTAAAAATAGGCAGCAGGATCCAAAGATTGGAACAAAATAGAACTAAGTATTCTACTTCCTACAGAAAACTAAAAATGGTTGGGGACCACACATCTTCTCCTAGCTTTCATAAGGACAAAGGGGCTGTGATGCCATCAATTGTTATCTTGGTTGCCTCCACCGTAATTCCAGTCCAAGAAATGTAGAAGGGAGACACAGGGAGTAGTCACAGTATACAGCAGTCTTGATGAAGAGGTTTTTTTCTCTTGCTTATCACCAATTTCTCCCATTCCTTGAAGCCAAGTGAATAAAAATTTGCATTTCCAATTTTTTTGCCACTACAAACAATGCTGCTTATTAATAAACATCTTTAAAAGTATCTTTATATAGCATTACTCTTATCTCCAATAGAATAATTTCCCTAAGACCAATGTATCCAATTATAGGATTTTTAAAAAAATATTTTTACATGCTGCCACATTGTTTWTTCAAAATGGGTGTACACACACACTTGACACTTCCATTAACAATATGAGAATATTCTTTTTCCTGTATCTGTACCATCACTACATATTTTTCCAATCTGATATCTTGTGCTTACTTTCATTTACATCTCCATATTTATGAATTAAGACATCTTTAAATATGCTAGGCATCTCAACAGCTTTTCCATGATTTATTTATTCATACTCTAGTATATTTTTCTCCTTTGTTTTCTTCCAATTGTTTAGAAATGTGATATCTACAATATGAATATTCTTTCAGAATTATSATCTGTTATTGACTTTGTTTACAGTATTGTTTGTCCTACAAGTTTTGTTTTGTGAATAGCTTTCCTATGAAAGATAAACAATTTGTGTCTATGCATTTATATATTTTAAAAATATATATCTGTATTTTAAGCCTACTCAAATGGAAAAATAATTCAAAAGTTAAGGTATTTGTGCTGTATACGCAAATAAGAGAAAATAAAAGGGTTGAAAGAATTATTGAAAAACTAAGGTAATTGCATGTATATTTTCCCCATCAAATGAGATTTTCAGTGAAGTTAGTTATATGTAACTTGAAGTGGAGACAGCATTATTATTCTCATCTTCATTTTTAATTGGAGAAAGTATAATGAAAAGCCACACTGAGCTACAGAGCTGATTCAATAGCTTGTCTTTTGAAAGTAGTATCAATGTCAACATAAGTTTTAATAGCATTTAAGAGCAAGATACTTACCTTTCAATAGCTAATTCTTTGTTAGAAAGTTGTTGCACTGTAATCACAACCTTCTTCTCTATTCCTTGCTTTAATTTGAAATAAAATTTATCTCTATCCTTTGGCACAGGGCTGAAATATTCAAAAAGAACAAGAATTACCAATATAATAATATAATCAAATAAGATAACCTATTCCAAGGTTTGAACAAGACAATCAAGTATTTAAGCAATGACTCTTAAGATGTGTTACACTCTTGGCCTGAGTTTGTGGCTCGGTGGTAGAGCATGTGATGCGCCTAGCACATGTGAGGCACTAGGTTTGGTCCTCAGCACCACATATAAATAAATGAATAAAATAAAATAAAGTTAAAAAATGTGCTGGGCTGGGGATATAGCTCAGTGGGTAGAGCACTTGCCTTGCATGCACAAAACTCTGGGTTCAATCCCCAAAACCACAAATATATATATATATAAATAAATAAATAAATAAATAAATAAATAAATAAATAAATAAATTGTGCTAAACTCTCACCTTGCCACAGATAACTATAAATTTTATGGTCAGAAACAGAAATTTCCAATAATTTTTAAATTGAACTTTAAAAAGCCTTACATTTCATCTCCTAACCAAGTTTAAAACCAAGATGTAACATGATACAATTGCAGGGCTGAGGTTGTGGCTCAGTGGTAGAGCTCTCGCTTGGCAGGTGTGAAGCACTGGGTTCAATCCTCAGCACCATAAATAAATAAATWAATTAAATAAAGGTATTGTGTCCATTTACAACTAAAAAAAAATTAAAGCTATAATTGCAAGTTTTAGTTATTGTTTAATAAATTTTAGAATATAATTTATTCGCTATTTTTAAGACAGTTACATTTCTGGTTTAGCTGGCTGTATAGTCATGGGTGCCTATTATATAGTGAAACAGAAAGCAACAACATTGAGAACTTTAATTTTAAGACAGCATTTAAGATGTTATGACATATTCAAAAACATACAAAGAAAAGATTGACCAAGATAGACAGTGGTAAGTTAATCAAATTCAAGCCTAAACCAAACTATTCTTTTGGGGGGAAGCCAATACTGAGGACTGAACCCAGAGCACCTTAACCAGTGAGTTACATCCTCAGCCCTTTTTATTTTTTATTTTGAATCAGGGGCTCACTAAGTTGCCAGGTTGGCCTGGAACTTGCAATCCTCCTGCTTAAACATCCCAAGTAGCTGGGATTAAGGTATGTGTCCCCATATCTAGCTAAACTTATTATTCATATAATGAATTAATTCATTAAAACAATAAATGTTGAAAATAGAAGTTCTCAAYTGAAAAGGAAAACTATCAGGAACAACTTATTTGATCTGAGACTCTATTTCTACATCTATAACTATACAGATAAATTATCTTCCTAGTAATTACTGTTAGAATTAAAAGCACAGTTAAGGCATATAGGTGGTTATTAAATAGTATAAATATTTCTTATTAATTGCCTGTTTTTAAACTGGAGGAAAAACATTTTAAATGTCCAATAGAAAAAAATGGATAATTAAATGATAGTTGAACTATATAATATACTATTAGTTACCATTAAAAATTATTTTAAGACATTTTAATATGAAATTCTTAAAATGTAAAGAAACTACATGTATATATACAATCATTTTAAAATTCCCTTCGAAATAAACAAAGGGGATAAACTAAATATTAGAAGTAATTACTTATGGCTGGCAAGACTAAAGTTTCTCCTTCTATTTTTATTATTTTACTAAATTTACTATAATAAACTTTAGTACTTTTAAATTATTAAGAAAATCATTTAAATATCTGAAAAGCATCAGAACAATGAAAYATATTCACCAAATATTCCTTTACCAGTTTAACACTTTATGCCAACATTGTCTAGCTGGGGGGAAATTTTAGATTAGCCAATATTATATTTCARACATAATGATATATTTTTTTCCTTCACAAATAACCTCACCTAAAGTTTCCTTTTCCATCATCTTCTTTTACCTCCAAGGAGACACCAAAGGTAAACACATCACTGTCGGGGGTAGGAATAATCGAGTCTTTAACATCAGACACTTGTCTGGAAGAACGTTTGAATGCTGTACAGAAACTATATAAAATTCTGCTTACCTAAAAAAATAAAAATGGAAATACCATTAGGCATGAGTTTTAACTGCATTCTGATACCCTTCTCTGATTTTTGAGTCTATTACTTTCCATGATCACAATTTTCTTAAGTAGATAAAAGATATATAATCTAAAAATCCATTAGTCATTTAGATATTGCATAAATATTTTTCATCACTTATGCATTACCATATGTGGTAAATGTAGATAGATCATCCTAACTGTAAATAAATCATATCCTGAAGACTATCATCAGTTTGAAGTCTAAGAGGGAAAATATTGCTAACAGTATCCCTCAAAAGGCAAATTAATTTCACAGAATATTTTAACTTTATGAAGTAATAAAAGGACATCATTTCAAGTATGATGTATGTTTTCAAACTTACAACAGATAAAATTCCAATGTAAACACTAGAGATGAGAACTAACATTTAGGAGTTGCAACAAGGATCTGGGAATCCTGAGAATTAAGAAAGACAAGACAATGAGGTGCACTCAGGAGAAAAAGTAAGTTGATATATTTAAYAGTGATTCAGAATCCGCCCCAGTACAAAAAAGGATGATACACCTGTCCAGGAGAGGGGGAAAAAAATACCATCGGTACCAGAGGGGATCATTTAATTATTATAAAAAACTTTCTTTGAAGAAGTTCTCTGATAATACCTAATGAAAAGGCAAGATTTCCATTGAAGAAATTGCTGAGATAGCATGTACATCATTTGTCAGGAAAAAAATATTCTATAGAGTGAAGAATATTTTATTATTATGAAAAATTTCTCTCCAGTATGGACAGCAGGGTATCTTTGCTATCTGATACACAAATAGGTTATCACTGTTAGAAAACTTAGATGTTATTTACTGCTATTTATCAATAATGATTTTATATATATATATATATATATATATATATATCTTTTAGTTTACATACTCCATTAATACACACTACAATATCTGATTCTCCAAATAAGGTTTATAAAACAGGCCTGACAGAATTTGCAATACTTTTTGCAAATGATTAAAGTGGGGTTCAAATACTTTCCAAAAATCATGCAGCTATTAAGTGATTGGGTTGTCTAGAATTCTGAGTTGAGGGCTTCTTAAGAGACTGCTTCCTAATATTATTTAGATTAGCTCTCTGATTATCAATGACTTTCTMTCGTAGAATAGTAAAATAGGGAATTAAATTCAACAAGTTTATATGTATATGTGCCTCACTAGAGTAGAGAAATATGCCCAAGTGTATTCATATTGAGGAATGGCTGCCTCACTAAGAAAGAATTCTTTAAGAAACAATCAAAAAAGTCATGTTTCAAATTTTCTTGTTTTGTTTGTTTCAACTCTGGTATTTAAACTTGGTAATAAAAATAAACTAATTTAGGTTCATCAAGRAAGCCACATCAATTTACAGACGTCTCTAGGCTTTAAAATACACTGAAGTATTTTGACAGGATCCTAAGATGATGCTAGGCTCTACAAGGTTTCAGCTCAAGTCTTCAATTTCTCTTTTCACTTCTCAGCCTCAGAGGACTAGAATCTGAGCCACAAAATAAAAGCAAATCCCACTTTCAGAAATAATCATTCATGAGGACATCACTTGAAGAGATTCCAGTATTTTTACTCAATGTTGTCATAGTATAAAAATACTAAAGGATGCTGCGAATGAAGGGATGGTGAATGGTCTTAATGTATTCTATTAGTATTAGGTCCTTCTAATGTCCACTTAAATATATATACACATATACACACACATAGTTATATACAGACACAAATGGCTCATATTTTTCCTAAAGCAGCAAAATATTATAAATCCCACACCTTTCCAAAAGTTATTCTCTTCCTCATCTGCAAAAAAATATATATATTAACATCTCATACTGGTGATCTTGAAGCAACAACTTCAAATCTCTTATCCCATCCATAGGTTGAATAAGGAAAATGAGGTGAAACAAGAGGGGTTAAACAAAGGTCATATTTTCAATACCTCAAAATGGTAAATTAAAAGTAAGGAGATTACTCTGAATATTAACAAATCTTTTACTTATTAGATAAATTCAAATTGTCATTGAATATATTGCTTTACGAATACAACATTTTTAATTCATTTAAAACAAGAGTACTCCTTCAGGAATAAAAATTTGTTAAAGAATGCAGTCTTTCTTATTTTTCTACTTTTCTACTTTAATTTTATTCATATATTCTGGCATAAGCTTTTTCTGTATACAGACAGCCTAACACATTCAAAAACAACTAGTCCTCAAACTTTTAGTACTCACATTTACATGTTAATCAGTGATTACCCTAAACTCCTTTTCAATGTCAATTAATAGTTTCTTAAATTAGCTGATTAACATTATTTTTTTAACATTTTTAGCAAATGTAGAAATATTCCTGCCCATCTAAAGTTCAACTTTGGTTGTAGTACCATATTTGATTCACAGTGGTTATGAATGTTTAAAAGTATTTTACCATGTTATCCCATTACAATTATATATAAATAAGTAAAAACAATAAAAGCAGCAAAGGTTTGATATTCATAAGAACTATAGGCCTCAACTCTAGAGACAATTAAGACAATGACAAATTAACTTACTCAAGACATTTTTGAGTTACAGTGCTAGGGATACAGAAGAGAACATGGAAGTTACATTGTAACAAATGTAAGTTGAATGTACTTGGTTTGGGAAAGTAAGAATAATTAGGTAAGCCAAAACCAAAAATATTTAGCCTAAGATGCATACTTATTGAACTTAGCTCAATARTTTTAGTGTTAAGAAGGAAAACGTAATCAAACAACACAATATAAATATGCTATTGAAGACTATACCTAGAAGGTGAAGTGTAAATAATGACTTTAAATTACTTTTAGTTCTTTGGGTACAATGTACTTCCTAAATAAAATGTGAAATCCAGTGTCTACTTTTTACATATGCAATTAAAATGTTTTTTAAGCAAGCATCATAATATGTGAAATTAGGGAAACACTTATATATAATTTTAGAAAAATTAAGTCAAATTCCATTGATATTTATTCTCTCCTGTCCCTTCTCATCCCTTCTTCTCACCCTTTTATTTTCTTTGTGTCAGAGATACCAGCAAGCTTGCCACATCAAAAGGCTACATACACCAAAAAAGGCAAAGAATTAGACAAATTCTAAAGGATGGTAAGGCTTCAGGAATTTATTTTTAAAAGGTTAAGTATATRGAGCGAACCCAGAGTGGTAAAGAATAATGGGGAAAAAAACAGACTGCACCTTTCTTTTGGAGATTATATACAACAACATATTAACTTCATTAACAGCATTTAATACTAACCTTATCTTACAASTTGTTGTTTCCACCAAAAAGGTTAAAATCACTTGTAAATTCTACAGTGTGTGAACAAGCTGAATCCTATAAGTGACCCAAGGATTGTCAAGGTAAATTAATAAAAAATGATTTTCAATGTCTATGATTCTTGAAACAAATTGGATAGTCAAAATTATGTGAAGAAAATTAAAACTACATTACCATGGCAAATACTTCATATATGTTACATTATTGAAATACACACAAAAATAATTATCTAGAAGGGGCATGTTCATTGCAAAAGGCAAAGATTTATTGATAAATAAAACAGAACTATTTTCCCCCAAAAGCAGTACCCATAGAAAGTACTAATAAACACAAAACTTTGTTATCTGCTTCGGGTTGTTGTTATTTTTAAATGAGGGTGGGAAGATAGTACCCATAGGTATCTGGAATGGAAATATCCCAAAATTTTAACTGTGGAAGAATTCAGGTCACCTTTTATTTTCTTCTTTATKTCAGTATTTTGCAAAGTCTCAAATATGTATTATATGTTAAAAATCCAAACAAAGCTATTATATAACAAAGCATTTACTTAAATATAGCTAGGGTTTCCAAGATAAAGCCTTTCTATTAATATAGGTGTATGATAACCTACTCKTTCAGAAACATCATGTATCAAGTAAATGTTATCCAAAAAATGTAGGAAAAAACATTCTACGAACARCATCCTAAAACAACTTGTTGTTTTAAACAACTTTTAAATACAAGTGTCACTGAAAGAACCTATTACATTCACTGTAACATTCACTGTAATTAAAAAATTATTGGGGGGGCTGGGGTTGTGGCTCGGAGGTAGAATGCTCGACTAGCATGCGTGAGGCACTAGGTTCGATCCTCAGCACCACATTAAAAAAAAATAAAGATATTGTGTCCACCTATAACTAAAAAATAAATATTTTTTAAAAAATTATTAGGGTTGGGGTTGTGGCTCAACAGTAGAGTGCTTGCCTAGCATGTATGAGGCACTGGGTTTGATCCTCAGCACCACATGAAAATAAATAAATAAAATAAAGGTATTGTGTTCAACTACAAGTAAAAATATATATTTTTTAAAAATTATCCAAGAAACATTTTTAAAATTATAAAATTCAAAGAAAGCATAACCAGAATATTTCTGAATCATCTTTCAAAATACGGCACTTAACCAAGTAACTGTCTACATGAATATGYTTTTAGAAATATTTTCCAATGCAAGAAGTAGTTTTCTTTTATACAGCAGTATACTGGCAAGCCCAAGAAAATATACTGCATTAAAAACTCATCTTCCCAACTGATACCATTGATATTTAGCACAAAATACCTTTGAATGCCTTCAACTCCACATGAGGAAAAACTGTGCTTGTAATAACATAACACTGACAGTTGCTAGTATTAATATAACACAAAAACATCATAAAAAATGTTTTGAAGAAAATGATCTTAYTCAATACCAGAAATAAAATCTCAGAGAGTCAATCAAGCCTTCTAAAGTATCTTTTAAAAGTTCTGTATAATATATCCATAAAGATGCAACTAGAATTGGTGACTTGGCTTTTTTCACTATATCTGATATTTTGCTAAGACTGCAATTCTTTGTCAGAAGCCTACCACATAACTCTCTCTGCACAAAGATCACTAACATTAAGATAATTCTGATTGGACAGACTAATTCTTTTGCCACAGGACACAGAGATCCACTCCAACAGAGTCCTGCAGAAGAATATCCAGAGTCAAATGTGTCCTGACCCTTCTGTGGGAACCCTTAACCCTTGCATCACTGCTGTCCAAGAGAGCCATCATCACCCTCACTGGGATCCCCTTCTGCCACCATTGGTGTCTGCTGCTTGAAGATTTTTACAGTGAAGTGACAGCATCACAGTGACAGCAGACAATCGTAGCCATGCAGTTACTCCTGCTTGAAAAACTCATCTTCTTGCCTTTAACAGAAAAACCTCTGTAGAAGTCATCCAGGGACTCTGGGGAGGAAAAAAAGGAAAATAAATCAGTGTCATTGCCACACAGTACATACTTAAGCAAAAGAATACATGTCACATGGCTCCTAGGCTATCTAAGCCAATTGCTTGTACCCACCAGAAGGGACTTAACTACTGAAGACTACAGTTGTCCCTCTATTTCAAAACAGGAAATTTCCAGGAACCAGATAACCAGTAATTAAATGGATTTGGATTAACTATAATTATTTTTTCAGGGAAGACAAGATGATGCTGATAGCTTCTATAAAAAACTTGAGTAAACCACAAAGATAGGTGGAAGGCAAAATATGTGCCTCATAAATCCCTTTATAAACATAACTGAGGGGTCTGGGATTGTATCTCTGTGAGAGCACTCTTGCCTAGCATGTGTGAGGCACTAGGTTTAATACTTAGCACGACATAAGAAATAAATAAAATAAAGGTACTGCATCCATCTACAACTAAAAACAATATTTAGAAATAGAAAAAAATAACTGAAAGACAAAAATTCACATTTTCTGTAATATTTAAGCAACAAGAAAGTTGTTGCTGAAAATATATAACTCCTTAGAGTGAATGACTTTAACTTCAAACCCTGCTCTACTATTCATTCCCTTAGCCTGGGGATAAACAAAAGGTAACTACACAATTCATTATTCAAAACCACAACCCTTTTGAAAACATTGGCAATTGACCTAGACAGTAGGCATAAAGTAGGACTGCTCTAAATAAATATGTATGCCATGGATGTTATGAGTATCAAGTATGTGCTTGGCACATGCCTGGCATAAGCACTACATTTATATTGGGTTAGTCTTCATTTCAAAATGATATCTCACAATAAGGTTCTATGACCACTGTGTGTGTATATATTTCTCCTTCAAACACTGTACATTACCTACCACAAATGGCCCACAGTATAACACTTTCAAAAATGTTATCTAAATATGGAAATCATGTACCAAATAAATGCTCTAGATATATAATAATACTCTTTATCATGATCAGTCTAAGAATTCCCCATTTTTTTTCCCACTGATTACCCACTGTCAGAGCTCTTAAAAAAAAAAAAAAAAAAAAAAAAAGGAAACACTTTTCCAACTCAGAAACAAGTAGATACTATAATCCAAAAGAGAGTTTCATACCATCACAGTTATGGAAAATGCAGCAAGGTCCCTTTCAATTTCCTCCTATAGCAGCATTTCTATTTCTCCAAGCAGTAGGTTGTCCAGTTCTTCAAAGTTCATTTTCTTGAAATTGGGCTCCAGTGATCCAGAAACCACACAGGTGTATTAAATGACAGCTGCCAACATGAAATGCCAGGACTCTACCATCTGCTTCCCCACCTCTGTAGTGGAGTTTATAAGGATCAGAAACAGCCCCCCTCACTCACAAAACACACATGTATTCTTTCACACATTTTGAAGCATGCCTACTGTGTACCGGGCACACCAACAACACACTTGTACTCATTTCACTTTCCTATCTATCATATCTTTTTGAGCAAGAAATGGAAATATACATAGATACCTAAGTGTCAGGATGAAATAGGATAAGGCCTATCTGAAAAACAAAACACAAAACTTGAACTTCTTATACAAAGCATAGGTTGTGGCAGAAAATTTATATATTTATGATCTAAATTATGTGTCTGTACATGTTTGTTTTAGTATAAAACAAACTGATGATCACCAGGGCATAAGAATTAACATATCCATTGTGCTTCTTATGAAAATTACATAGATCTACATTTCTATACATTCTAATTTTGTGACCAGAAATAAACTCTCAAAACTGTTATTACAATAGTTTGTGCATATTTCATGGTAAATGGGGACTAGAAATAACTGTTGCTTTTAGCATTTTCTGACAATTGATATTTTCAAAATTGCCCATCCAATCCCATTTAAAAATGCCTTTGAAATTATTGCAAGTAATAAACTCCTAATAATACTTCTTTTAATTTGGGGGCAATTCAAGAGATGCAGCAAAGAATATTTCCCCATGTATTTTACAACCATTTGATTCTGAGCTATTTCTCCAACCTAAGAATATACAATAGTTAATTGTTATGAACTTACTGGCATCTTCAAAAGACTATAAGTTGATACCCCTGCTGTATGTGAGCATTTATATTTTTAATTAGGTTAGTTTTCCAGAGCAAAATACAGCCTCCAAGTGATAACAAATAATCACTAGTGAAAACCACAGAGATCTATGAAACAATATTAGTGCAATATCTAAGTGAAAGTAATTATGCAACTATGAGAGACACAGGTATTGTTATAAGCACTTTTTTAAATCACACAGACCAATTTACTTGAGCAAAATGAAAGCTGAAAAAATATTCATCCTTTCTGAGCATAAGCAATTGCTACTGTGGTAGGGTGTAGGACAATTTATCAAGTGGTATTTTTCTTTTATTCCTGCTAAATTGTGAAAGTGTCCTACCTAGAATTATCATTTTATTGTATAGATAAATCAGACTTAGCATTCAGTTCTATGCCATTATCAAGATAAATTTTGTCTTTAGAAGCAATCTCCAAATTTATATAATGTACTTATCAGGGATATTAAGAATTCAAAAATACTACCCTAACTCCACTCTATAGCAAATTGCTATACTATATTATACTTACTGCCTCTTTAATTTCACAGGAAAAAACATGTATCTGAAATTCTTCTGAACCATGAGAACTCTCTGTAAATGCAAAGCAATTGCTCTCTGTTGTCCCATCGTGTCCACGCACACAGAACAACACTTTATAGATCGGGAAAGATGCTATCTCCACATTGCTGGATTGGTCTATGATTCTGCAGAAGAGTGATGAAAAATGAGATAAAATATGTTACTAGCAAGGAACAAAGACAGCTTTACTATATCAATGTACAACGTATAAACATAACTATCTTAAAATCCCAAGAATAAATTGGTAATAATAATGCTAGAAAACAAAGTATCTATATATTCCTGCAAACCTTACACATACACATATAAATTCTTCATCTTCTTTTGACAATTTCTTTGTTCTTATTTTCCTAAGATCTAACTCGTTTACTCCAAAGCAAAGCAGGCATGGCTAGGTAAAATACTRTCACTGGTTATCACTGGTTATAACATATACTAGAATAAAAGCACAGATCATCTTGGAAAATCCATTTCTTTTCAGAGCACTACCTTTAAGTTCATCTAAGCCTCAAGTTACTGTTCAACTGAAAACTCTTTGCCCAGAAAAATGTCAGGAAATTTCAAACATAGACACAACAATAGAACACAGAATGTAAAAGTAGTTTGAGGGATTTAGAAATAATTCTCTGATGTTCCCTACATACATCTTATGCCTTGGACTGATCTAAACATTCAAGACCATTTCAAAATCTCAAACAAAGAAACTAAAGGATGGGCTGAAGTAATACAGAGGTAACTGTCAGTAATCGTAATAGAGGTAAGTCACAACACTTAAGTCTTTGTTAAGGTAAAACTGAAACTAAACAATAACACTAAAATACATTTTGGCATTTTTAGGAGMTACTGTGAAAATAATAATTTTTAAAACACTTTATAAAAATAATTTATAAGACACTTCTGAAAAACTCAAAGCATTTTAAYCAATACTATGTAAAATTTTATAGCTATTACTTCAATACAAAGAACTTAGTCATCACTCTACTTCTTTGAATGACTGTTAAAGGCTAAAGACAGATTTTCTTGCTCCTGAAAAATAGAAAAATACAAATCTCAAGTATTTTACATGTCCTAAGGAAAATTTTGCAAATATCCCTTATCAACAGGAACACAGTGTAAGCCTAAATAATGTGTACTTTACATGTCTACAGAGAATTGAGTGAATTCACAGTAAGTCCTACATTGAATTTATGATATAATACCCTCACAACACTCAAAAGACTTAGAACATGTCTTAAGAAAAAGAAAATTAAAGCTTACCTCACAGAACCGTCTGGAACATTTGGCACATACAGAGTAACAGGAAAGGGGTACTGACTGGACAATCTCATGGTTGCCATTGCCCGTAAAGCCTCCACTTCATTACGTGGGGAAGAAACCTTCRTACATCCTAAGTAGGTCAGTTTGTTAAATAAAACACTATCTTCTTCAGATAGTCCAGTTGGAGAAGATGGTCTGGGTGTGGAAATTTCTGAAGGGTAAAAAAGCAGAAACACTCCAAAGTCAATACAAAACAAGTATAATTTTGCCAAATGCTCAAAGAGAAATGAAATATATCAAACAAAATTTAGATAAATACTAACTGAAAGAAAGCTGCAATGACTATATCAGTAGAAAATAAATGGGCTTCATAACAAAGAAAATACACAGGGATAAAGAAAAAAATATTACATAATGATGAGTGAATTCACCTAGAAAATATAAAAATGAGTTATCCACCTAAAACAGAGCTTTAAAATACATGAAGTAAAAATTTATAGAACCAAATGAAGAAATAGACAAATCTATAATTATACTTGGACAATTCAAACTACTATACAATAAAGCATAGAAAAACTAAACAGAAAATCAACAAGGTATAGATGACTTAACAAGCATCTTGATCTATCAATTATAGAAAACCCAGAAACTACAGAACACACATTCWTTTCAAGTTTACAAAATATATTCACCAAGATATATCAGGATAAACCCCAAATTTACAACTTTTATGAAAATGCAAAAGAAATAGAATAGTCAAAAACACTTTGAAAGAGAATACTGCCTGATTTTAAGGTTTACTATAAAGCTACAATAATCAAGACAGCACGAATTTTTAAAAAGGACAGACATATCAGGCAATGAAACAAAGCAAAAGGTTCAGAAACAGCCTCACACACTTATGGCAATAGATTTTTATTTGTTCTTTTTAGATATACATGACAGTAGAGTGTGGCAACAGATTTCAAACAAAACACATTCACCAAGCCTGGTGGTCCACACTTAKAATCCCAGCTATTCAGGAGACTGAGAAAAGGATCACAAGTTTGAGGCCAGCCTCAATAACTTGGCAAGACCCTATCATATAAAGCAGTCACTCCACTCCTAGGTATTAATCCCGAGAAATCAAAGTGTATTTGTAAGACTTGTTCACAAATATTCATAGCAGCTTTACTGATTAGCCCAAAACTGGAAACAACCCAGAGACCTTTAACATAATAGATTCATAAAATGGATTACAACTCAACAATAAAAAAAACTTGATACATGCATCAACATTGATAAATTTCAAAATAATTATGCTCACCAAAAAAAAAAAAACCAACAGATCAAAGTATCTACTATTTAATAAATTAATAACCTGGATTTTAAATAGATCCTAAATCATATACTGGAAATAGGAAATACATTAAACTAAATTTTTATAGTTTAACTACAAGAACATAAGTGTTTTCTAAAAGAAAGTTAAAGCTGAGCTATTGTTATATGCCAATATTTTTAATTTATGCACAGGTTCATTTTATTGGGTTGCAGAAAGGACTGATTTCTCATCCCACATCTGCTATAAAATAGCTGTATAAGCCTAAATAAGGCACTTAACTCCTCTGGTCCCCAGCTACTGTATCAGCAGCATAAGAGAGTATAAATGCTTTTTACAGGGCATTATTCCATAGAAATCTAAGAGGTCCACCAAGGTGATTTAGTGAAGATGAAGGTCCTACATCCTGCCCCACATCCATTTCAAGCAGATACGTTGTAACTACTAGGTGTAGACGAAACATTTTATTTGATCTGATTCCCAGGTTCAAAGTTTCCAATATTGATAATAATAACGATGATAAACATTTTACTATGCACAATCAAATGTACCATAACTGTAACCTTCATGTAGACAAAATTCACTAGTAACTATCAGATTATGACTCATGGAAATCCTGAGTTAAGCAGGCAAAGAGCAAAAATATTTTCAGTAAAGCCAACCTTACAGAAATGACAAAAATCACAAACAAATGTAAGGTGCTCAATTTCACCTAAATAAATAAGAATTCGGTACTAATCAAATCATATTCAATTGTCTCATCCATTCTTCAGTAGAATGATGAAAAGAATAACAAAGAAAGTGAGAGAAAAGACCCATATTTATAATCAAATGGTATTTTAGCACATTTAAACCAGGAATGATTTGCTATTAAAGTTGAACCTAAGTAACCAGGGTATAAAAACACAAAATGAAAACAACCAAGGTATCAAAATGCTTAAACAAAAGTTCTCATCAATATAGTTTTATAACTAACAAAAACACATTTAATGTTTAGTTTAGACCACCTCAGTCTCATTTCTAGACAGTTTCTTGCCACTGAAGCTATCATTTCAAACCAACCATAATGCTATTGGCAAAAATGGTATTGATTTCAACTATGAAAAGATAGCAGAAATGTTCTTTTATTCAATATGTAAACCAAAAATACAGACTCAGAAAATAAATACAGAAAACTTACCTGTAAAGCAAAGGAAATTTTTCTTACCAACAGAGATATTCAGTAAAAGATACATTTTTTAAAATGTATCTGGGATAATGGGGATTGAGAATATAAAAAGACGCACAATAGACAGTCTCAGAATATACTCGGAAATAAGAATCATATATCATTCAAATAACTCATTAGTGTTACAATAAAAGGCAAAAGGCACTTCTTCCTTTCAAGAAATATATTAAAAAATAACTATATGAATACAGATTACCAGTATGCTTTGGGAATTTTAGGAAATTCAATGACAAAACAAARTGCAACGAATAATACAATTTTCCATGTACCCTTAATCAAGAAAAAAGAATAATTTGTAATGTTTGTTCCTAATGTTATATTTTTGATAAAGTCATTTTATGTGTGTATGTTTATATCTATATGCACATATAAATATATATGCTGTTAAGTCCTCCTAATCTTAAATCTAGTCACAAGTATGTCTACACACTAAAATCTGTTAAGTCTTTCTCGCAAATCACTAAAACATATGCTGTTTAACAATATTTATGGTATCTTTCTCATTAAGAAGTTTAAATTTTTCTTTATTAAAATGCAACTATCTGGGCTGGGGTTGTGGTTCAGTGGTAGAGCACTTGTCTAGCATGTGCAAAGCACTGGGTTCGATTCTCAGCACCACATACAGATAGGTAAGTAAAATAAACGTCCATGAACAACTAATAAAAACATTTTTAAGCCCTCCCTCTCTTTCTGCAGACCCTTAAGGTCAGAGAAGCTGTCACAACAACCCCAAAGAAAAAGTTTAGGAAGTTTCTAAAGATATATATTCAAGCTCACTGATTCTTTTCTCAGCCATGAACACTCCACTGAAGTACCCATCAAAGTTTCATCAGCATTTTCTTGTGAGGATAAGAATGATAGAGGCAGACAATCTAAATATGGCGCC